CTGGATATGTAGGACCAGACCAAATTAAACCAGGAAGACATAGAAAACCTAAATAGACCAATAACAAGTAATGAAATTGAAACCACAATTAAAAGTCTCCCAGTAAAGAAAAGCCCAGGACCAGATGGATTCTCAGCTGAGATCTATCAGACTCTTAAAGAAGAACTAAGGCCAGTCTGTCTCAAAGTATTTCATGAAATGGAAAGGGAAGAAACATTCTGAAATACATTCTATGAAGCCAGTATAACCCTGATACCACAAAGACGCATCAAGGAAAGAAAACAATAGACCAAGGTGGACAAGGCTGTCCACTCTCTGCACTTGTGTTCAACATAGTTCTCCCAACTCTATCTAGAGCAATCAGGCAAGAGGAAAAAAGTAAAGAAATACAAACAAGAAAAGAAGTCAAACTATCTCTGTTTGCTGATGACATGATCCTATATCTAGAAGACCCAAAAAACTTCACCAGAAGACTTCTAGAGATGATAAATGAATTCAGTAAAGTAGCAGGATACAAGATCAACCTTCATAAATCAATAGCTTTCCTATATTCCAATGGAAGTTCATCTGAGAAAGAAATCAGAAAAACCATCCCATTGACAATTACCTCAAAAAACGAAAACAAAACCTTGGGAAATAATGACCAAGGAGGTGAAAGATCTCTACAATGAAAACTATAGAAAACTGTAGAAAGAAATTGAGGAAGACCTTAGAAGACAGAAAGACCTCCCATGTGTTTGGATAGGCAGAATTAATATTGTCGAAACAGCCATACTACCAAAAGCAATATACAAATTCAATGTAATCCCATAAAAATACCAATGGCACTCTTCACAGAAATAGAAAGCAAAAATAGTACTTATATTCATCTGGAAGAATAAAAGACCCAGAAGAGCCAAAGTAATAGTGAGCAAGAAAAGCAATGCAGGAAGCGTCACAATACCTGATCTCCAATTATATGACACAATTATAGTAACAAAAACAGCATGGTATTGGCATAAAAATAGACATAAAAACCAAGGGAATAGAATGGAAGACACACAGACAAATCCATGTACCTACTCACAGTCATCTAATATTTTACAGAGGATCCAAAAACATGTGTTGGAGAATAGAAAACCTTTGTTACTAGACACACTGGATAGCCATATGTAGAAGAATGAAATTAGATCCCTGTCATCTGGCATAAGAGCCAAATCACTGTGGATCCAAGACTTAGGAATTAGACCAGAAACTTTTTGATTGCTAGAAGAAAACAGGACCAACACTCCATCATATTGGTGCAGGCACCAATTTCCTCAACAAGACTCCCTAAAGCTCAAGAAATAAAACTCAAGAATCAGTAAATGGGATGCCATCAAATTAAAAAGCTTTGCACAGCAAATTGAACAATTAAGAACATGAAGAAAGAGCCTACAGGATGGAAGAAAATCTTTGCCAGCTACTCCTCAGCATAAAGGTTAATAACCAGAATATATTAAGAATTAAAAAACCTTAATGCCAAGAACAACAGATAACCCAATCAATAAAAGGGCAAAAGAACTAAACAAATACTTCTCAAAAGAGAAACACAAATAACCAACAAACGTGAAAAAAAATGTTCATAATCTCTAGCAATCAAAAAAATGCAAATCAAAACTACACTAAGGTTTCATTTCATACCTATCAGAATGGACATTATCAAGAATACAAATAATAACAAATGCTGGTTAGGATGTGGAGAAAAGGTACATCCATATATTTTGGGTGGGACAATGAATTAATTCAACCATTCTGGAAAGCAGCATGGAGATTCTCCAAAACTCTAGGAGACCCAGCTATCCTACTACTTGATATTTATGCAGAAGAACTAAAGTCATCATACTATAGTGATACAGCCACATCAATGTTTATAGCAGCACAATTCACAAGAGCCAAATTAAGGAACCAGACCAGATGCCCGCCTGTAGATGAATGGATTAAGAAAAGTGGTAAATATACACACAGTGGAGTTTTACTTAGTATGGCATTTGCTGGTAAATGGATGGAAATGGAGAATTTCATGCTGAGTGAAATAAGTCAGACTCAGAAAATAAAGGGTCAAATGTTTTTCTCTCACATGAAGAAACCCAAGCAAAATAAGGGAGAAGAGGGTGGGGGATCAGATATCATAAAGATATAAAGAAGTTCAGTGAAGTAGAAGAAGGAGACGGAGAGGAAGGGAGGAGGAACTGGAAAGGGGAGGAAATGCAGAATGAATTTTAAAACATCACACTATGTGTGCACATAAATATAACACAGTGAATTTCGCTTTTATGTAGATGTGTAAAGCATCAATCAAAAATAAATAAATGAATGAGCAAAAGGAAAATCAATAGTGTAGAGGTATGAGAATGGTGGGAGAGGGGAGTGGAAGGAAAGCAGGGGCTCCTAGGACTGAAATGGAGCAAATCGGATTCCATGCATCTATGTTTAGCAAAATGAACTCAACTACTATGCATAACTATAATTCTCTAATGCAAAATAATTACTTGAGTCTCTTTGGTGATGGTCAGCCACAGAGATGATGTGTTGTTAGGTCACAGATAACTCAACTGCTCCCTTGGTGAAGACCATGCCTGTGACTGAGGCCAAGGTCCTTTGAGGCCCATGCATCTACTAGCATGGCACAATGAGCCACAGCCTTGTTTTTTGTTTTTCTGCTGTTTTTTGTTTTGTTTTGTTTTGTTTTGTCTTTGAATCTATAGCTTCAATCCAAATCGATGTTCTTATTACAGAACATCAAGGAGAGCCCCACAGTTCAGAAAAATTTTGCAGTCATGCTCACAATTGAATAGGAATTATTCAGCGTGTAGTTCTCCATAATGAATCTCTAAATGCTGTGAAAAATACAACTTTGGGAGTTTATACACCTTGACTTTCTAATCTGCAATAGACAAACATGCACAAAGTTTTGAAAGAACAGTTTTCAACAAACTGTTGAAAGGAGTATTCTTATTATGCATTTCATTGAGTAAATAAAAAAAGAAAATATACAGCAGAATATCAAATCTATATTAATTTCTCCACCTAAAAACCACAGAAGCCCATGCTGGTCACTTCACTGGAAGATATGCACATGACAGATGGCAATTCCTTATCGGGAGGATTTTCTTGGAAAAGTGATTCATACCCTATCTCTTGGCATATCTATTGTTCTGCTTCCAGAATACACCCCCAATCCATTTAATCCCCTCCATCTTTTCTTTCTATTCCAAATCACCATCATCTTTCACCCAGATTACTGCAGTTGCCTCCTGACTCTCCATCTTGCCCACCACTAACTCCACAGAGTGGCTGGACTCTCAATGTAAAATAGAACAGAGATGTTGCTCCCTGCTTTGAAATCTCTAGGGGGTTTAGTACTGCTGTAATTAGAATAAAATCCAAACCCCAGAGAGCCGGGGTGATCTGGCCTGTGCTCATCCTTCCAGATCCTTATCATACAATTCTTTCCCTTCCCTCTCCCTCCTCCAGTTCCATGCAGATCTTCCTTCTTTGCTCAAGGAAGGGCTTAGCTCTGGTTCCCTCTGCCTGGAGTAGTCTGATTCCAGTTCCTTTCATAGCGGGCTCCTTCCCATCACTCAGGCCTCAGCTTCAGTGTCACCTCCACTGAGGGCAGCCCTCCCTGAAGTCCCAGCTGGAAAGGCCCTTCCTGCCCACCCCCCCACCCCCCGCCCGCCACCAGTCACTCTTCATTGTGCCTTTCTGTTTTGTTTTATTCATAGGCTCTTTTATGCATTTCTGAAGTGTCTTGTTTATCTATTTGCTTATTTTCTTATTGTCTCTCTCCTTGCAGCCTGTACCGTTTTTCTGTCATTTGAACTTCCAGTGTTTTGTTATAGAATATCAGAGAGAGGGAAATAAAAATCCTTAGTCTTCCTGCTACTGAATCTTCTGTGACTACAATGGTGCCTTGTATAAATATTGGACAAGTGAATAAACAAAATACATTCAACAAATACATTTTAAACATTTATATATATTTGTGAAATATATATAAGTGTGTGTGTGTATGTTTATGTATGTTCTTTGTGTGTGTGTCTGTGTGGTGCTAGGGATTGAAACCAGGGCCTTGTGCATGTGAGGCAAGCAGTCTAACAACTAAGCTATGTGAGCTCAATGTGTGTGCTATTTATGAATGAATAAATGTCCTTGAAGATATTTTTTATAGCCAATGTTCATCCTGACTTGGAATGTCAAGAGTAGATGAAATAATCATTTTTATTAAGTATGGGAACTAGGCTAGAATAAATGCATCAACCTGAAAAAAAACAATAAAGGATTTTGTCTCTTTACCTGACTTCACCATGAACATAGTTGGAGTAACACCTAGAATTATCAGGTTCCTTGGCAAAATTCCTCCAGCACCTTAAAAAGAGTCATACGTATGTGTATATGTGTTTCTGAATGTTTTCAATCTACATTATGTATGAATTTACCTTAAAGAAGTGATGACAACTATAAACTCTAAGCTATAGTCCGAAGTTTTCATGCCTATCCTGAAGTCATATATATCCATTGACGTGGGTGATAGGATCTTTATATTTTTCTTTTCTTACTCTTCTTCATCAAGGCACATAGCCTCTGTTAAATGATGTCATGAAAATGTACATATGGTAACAACCACACTAAGTTCTAAGGATTCACAGGGATAGATTTATCTATAACCTAATGAATATTTCTGTTTCCTCTGAGAGCTCGTTTCTATTTTTTATTCATATCTTCATTCACAAGACATTTTGGGTACTTATTTGGTAACAGGCACTGTTCTCACCTCTAAATTCAGAATAGCAAATGAGGGCAAGCCTGCATGGATCTTGCCTACTTGTGTCTCTTAGTCTGACACCACAGTCTGGGGGAGGATCTCCCAGTTCGGAACCTGAGACTTTCTTCTCCAGCTGCTCCCAGCCATAGTCACCACCTTGCTGTCATCAAGAGGAGACTCTGATGCTAACTTACATTTCTATGGTGTGTTTCAGCAACTGGGAAGTGTATACAGCATACTCGCTGCCATCTTAAATGTTGGAAACATTGAATTTTCTTCTGTGGCCACTGAACACCAGATTGACAAAAGCTACATTTGCAATCATGCAGCTCTGGAGAACTGTGAGTTTTATTGTCTTCTATGCAAAACTGAACTTTCTCAAGTCTTATTCGGTGTCACATAAGGATAATTCCAAGCAATTATGCTTATATGGAATCCTTAAGAAGATGCTCAGATTCAACTTGTGTAAAATGAAATTTTTAAACTCCATTATTTAAAACATCTTCATGCATGTGAACTGATAACTGTAGAAAACATTTCTGAACATAAAGCTTTTATTGACTAAGTTAGGAGCTGTTTATATTTTAATGTGAAAATGTGGGTGAAATTTAGTTAATTGATATGCAAAAGAAACTTGCCATATCATGTGTTTAAAACTTATCATTTTATAAGTAATAAAACCTTTGTTTTCTTCCTAGATGAATTTTGTATACCCATTTATCCTGGGTTAATTAATTTTTCAGTTATTTAGCTTACAAAAGCACATTGTGGTATTTGCTTCAAATCAAATTTTCTCCTAAAAACAGAGGTTGACGAAATATTCCCAATAATTTAAGGTATCCCACTAATAATTCTAGTGGCACAGCTTTTTTCTACTTAGAAGGTACACAATTATTGGCATATGTCCCCATAATTATTATTTGTTATAAGTTCTAGTCATAGCCTTAAAGTATCATGATACATAATTTCATGTTTTTTTAAAGAGAGAGAGAGAGAATTTTTAATATTTATTTTTTAGTTTTTGGTGGACACAATATCTTTATTTTATTTTTATGTGGTGCTGAGGATTGAGCCCAGCGCCCTATGCATGCCAGGTGAGTGCGCTACTGCTTGAGCCACATCCCCAGCCCCTTGTATATTTTTCCCTGAATTATACTCATTGTGGAACAGAACCAGAGGTTTCAAGGTAGTTTCAGAGGGCCAAATGTGAAAACCTCCTAATCTCAACCTGTCCTTAAGAGTGTCATTTGTGTCCTATTGTGCATTTGGAACAAACTTGATAATAGAGTAGATCAAGGGTTTAAAGTTTGCATGCCGTGATTGGCATTACTTGGAAATCTTGAAGAAACCGGTTCTCATCTTCCATTTATAAACTAATTTAATTGGAACATGAGATAATAAGTTATCAGAAGTGAAAAAAAATAACCAGACAACTCCATTGATAAAAGTAAATTATTACCATCTGCTCATAACTGGAAGCATTATCGGCACCCAACAGAATGAGATGCAGTACTATTAGGGGGTTCTGTTAGCTTTCTGCTGCTGCGACAAATATCTGAGAAAAATCAGCTTAAAAGGGAAGAATGTTGCATTTTGGCTCAAATGGTTTCAGAGGATCAATCCATGGTTGATTGACCCATTGCTTATGTGGCTGTGGCAAGGTAGGACATCATGGCAGAGAACATGTGGTGAAACAAAGCTGCTCATCTCATGGTGACCAGAAAGAAAAAAGAGACAGAGGAAGAGGCTGGGGTCCCAATATACTCTTCAGTGGCACACCCCCATGATCTAACTTCCTTCCACTAGACTTCACCTCTGAAGGCTCCTCCTTCTCCTCCTCCTAATAGCACCAGACTGGCCACTAATCCTTTAGCACATGGGCCTTTGGGGACATTTAATACATTTAAGATCCAAACCAAAACAGTTGTAGATAAGAATACACTTATAAGCAACCAAACTAAAAAAACAATTTTGATGATTAGAATCTAGTTCTATATATCAGGAAAGTCATAGATCAAAAAACGTCAATGTTAATATTAACATGAGTAGAATGAAAATTAATTGAGCCACTTTCTGAATAGCCACTTGTGGAATAAAGAAATTTTGTTAATTTACCTTAAAATTGTTCATAATTAAACTTAAAAATAATTCCAACAAAAGCCACATTCCAAATGGTTTCACAGATCCATTGTTTCAATCCAGCAGCGGTTCTGTCTATACCATCCTATAAATGTCTTTCAAATTTGATTACTTCTCTTTATCTTCACCGTTCTTCTCCAAGACAACATCCAAGCTTCAACTGTTACCTCTTACCTGAATTAAGTGACCTCCCAATTGTTTGCTCTACATCAGGAACCAATCTTCTCCAGGTTATTTGCCACAGTTCATTAAAAAACCACTTAACTGACTTGTCAGTGGGCTCTTGGTCTCAATCTTCCTCTTCTTTCTCCTCCTTTCTTCTACCTCTTTTCTTTGTCTTCCTTTCCCTCTCCACCTCTTTCTTCCCCTCCCCTTTCCTTTCTTCCTCTTCCTCCCTCTCTCTTCCCAGTTAAACTGCTTGATTAGCCTCCCATTTCTTCTGGATAAAGATCATCAAGATTGCAACTTTGTTTTTGAAGCATTGTATCTAGCAATATGTCACCAGGTAAAATGCCGGGCTTGTAGCAGACACTCAATAAATATGTCAGATGAATGGGCAATCCAGAAATAAAAGTAGACAGATTGGAGAGAAACAGTGTTTAGAAAAAGATCCCACTAAAAGTACCAAAAATGGCATTGCAAATCAGTAGGGAAGCATTATTGTAGGGGTGTTATGGTTTGGATGTGAGGTGTCTCCCAAAAGCTCAAGTGTGAGGCAATGCAAGAAGGTTCAGAGGAGAAATGATTGGGTTGTGAGAATCTTAACCTAATTAGTGAATCAATCCCTAATGGGATTAATCCAGTGGTAACTTGAGGGGGTGGGGGCGGAGTGTAGCTGGAGGAAGCCGTTAATTGGAGGTGTGGCTATAGGATAAATATTTTGTATCTGGAGAGTGGAGTCTGTCTCTGTGCTTCTTGATCACCATGATGTGAGCTGCTTTCCTCCGTCAACCCTCTCCCACCATGATGTTCTACTTCACCTCAAGCCCCGAAGAATGGAACCAGCCTTCTCTGAACTAAGACCTCTGAAACCGTGAGCCCTCAAATAAACTCTTCCTCCTCTATAATTGTGCTTGTCGGGACCTTCAGTCACAGCAGTGAAAAAACTGACTAAAAAACGAGACAATCAACTGACTAACCATTTGGGAGAGGGGATATTTGGATCCTTTCCAAACATCATATACCCAAATGAATTCTAAATGTACATAAATTTAAAAATGAAAAATCATCAACATTCCAAATGAATTACATTCATATAATCTTGATGTGAAAAACCACACGAAGAAGTTTATGTTCAGAAAACCAGAAGCAGAAATTTTTTCTTAAAAAAATGGCTATTTCACTACCTAAAAATTAAAACTATTTAGTAGTAAATAAAGCATAAAGGAAATTGCCATGAAAATGAGAGAAAATATTTGCAACAAATATATCAAAACATTACTCTCTTTAAGAACTCTCGTAAATTGGGAAAAGCAGAACCTGTCAATGAAAGAAGGCAGTTTACAAAATTAAAACCACAAATAATGAATAAAAATGAAAGAAAAAGTGTTCAACTTCTAGGAATCAATTTAGACCAAATATTAAGAAGACAATGTTTTCCTCTCAATTTGGCTGTTCTTAAAAATGATAATCCACAGTACCCAGGAAATTGTGTTGAAATTCTTGGTCTTTCACTTGAGTGACAGGAGTGTAATTGATCCAGTTTTTGAAAAACACTTAAGTAATATATGTCAAAAAGCTTATATATGTTCAGATAGTTTGAATAAATTGCAATATGTGTGCCCAAAATATTTACCCCAATATTTTTATCATTATTAACATAGGAAAATAACTTAAACATCCTACAATTTAAAAGTATTAATATATTATAATACATGTCAGAATGTTATACAGCACATTAAAATTATATTTGTTAACAATATTCATCAAAATTAGCAATGCTTAAGATGTTTTATTAAGATAGATTATGCAGAATAATGGCAATAAACATGTCACAAAGTAAAGAAATGAAGAATGCCTTATTATTGCTGTATGTATATATGTGACTACATGACCAATGTGTTTCTGCAACCTGTACACTCAGAAAAATAAGGAATTATACCCCATCTGATTCAAATGTATGATATATCAAGATCATTGTACTGTCATGTGTAACTAATTAAAACAAATTTAAAAAATTAAATGCAAAAAAAAAGAAATGAAGAATGTTAACTTCGATGGTAAAATTTCTGCAGTGATCCTGTATTACTTGTAGAGTGCTTTTAAAAAAGACTTTTGTTTAAGATAGAGTTTAATAATCTTAGCCACATAATAAAAAAACATCTTGTCAAGATTGCTAAAATAAGTCCAAAATGCTCAAAGTATTTAAAAAATAAAACAACTAACTTGAAAACTTATCCTGTAATGTACTAATTTAGGTTAAAATTATATTAATTCATGGCTGGGGTTGTGGCTCAGTGGTACAGTGCTTGCCTCACATGTGTGAGGCCCTGGGTTAAATTCTCAGCACCGCATATTAATTAATGAATAAAATAAAGGTCCATCAACACTAAAACATATTTTTTAAATTATATTAATTCACTAGCTTTAAGCATTACTAATTTAAAATAATATTTATTTGTCATTTAATGCTTAAAAAATATTAGTTTGGGCAAAAAGTTTTTTGTTTTGTTTTGTTGCTGGTACTGGGGTTTAAACCAAGACCTTGTGCACTCTAAGCAAACACTCAACCACTGAGCTGTGTCCCCAGCCCAGGCATCAAATTTTGTGACAAAATTTAGTGATTTTGAAATATGAACCTAAGAAGAATCCTGGTCAGAGATACATGAACGTCAAGATTTAAGTGTATGCTCCTTCTGTTGTATACTGCAGAAAGTAGTTCTTATCTACTTGTTTGGGTATACCCCCCAAAGTCTAAGTAACCTTCCAATTAATTTCTGCATTTCAAAACTAAGTAATAATAATGGTATCAAAATTACATCAAATCTCCTTACTATGCTTTAAGATTAATTAGCATAATTCATTAAGTTATGCTTGACAACAAACACATCAGTAACCACTTACTATGCAGCCGTTTAACTTTGTCAGCCCATTTGGTTTAGGGTATGTCAGTACTCAGCAGCCACAGTCAGTGGAGATGAGGAGAGAAAAATGATCCTGAACAGATACAAGACTACTGCTGAATAGTAACTTATTCTTACACTATAAACAATCCATATATTTAACACTATAAACTATCCATATATTTAAGATGAATTAAGACGTTTTTATTTTGCTGCAAGTGATTTATTGACACGATTTCTACATCTATTTATCTTACAGCTGCCTCTTTGCTTTGCATTCAGGCAGATGAGCTGCAGGATGCTCTCACCTCCCACTGTGTGATCACAAGAGGAGAAACAATTATCCGACCCAACACTGTAGAAAAAGCTTCTGATGTCAGAGATGCCATGGCTAAAACTTTATATGGGCGTCTCTTCAGTTGGATAGTCAATCGCATTAACAGTTTGTTGAAGCATGATACCTTGCCAAGGTAAAAATTTCTGTACAAACTTTCTCCCCAACTGTCAGCTGATACATCTATTTTGTAATTTTCTGATTTGTGTAAGTCTCTTTGAAGATGTTTGTAATTGATATAGTTTGATTACCAAAGTTATATTTCAAGATATGCTTTGTTTCCTAATAACACCACCTTGTTTTGCCATGACTGTAAAAGTTTTTAGCTGCTGTAATATAAAAACTATAGCAGCATGAATAATCACCAATAGAAAGTGATTTTTTAAAAATCTGACATGACTATTAATATGTTCCTTTAATTAGAAGGTGCACCATGAAGAATATGCCATGTTATATAAAATGCCAGTTCAGAAGTTCTTTATTTTTGAGATTTAAATAAATCTTAAAGATAAAGGAAATTTTTTTTTGCATTTTAAACCCTGTAAGAGCAGGTGTTATGAGCTCCCATGAAATTTGTTTTAGAAATGCACTAGAGATTGGCAGAGTGAGAATATGACATCACTAATGATCTCTGACCCTAAGTCTACAACTTTCCAAGCACCTCATCTTATAAATAAAGGTAATCTGTAGAGTATGCCTGTAATCCCAGCTATACTGGATGCTGAGGATCTGGAGAGCAAGACCCTGTCTCAAAATAAAATATAAAATCAAGGTAATTGTAGCCACCATTGACTGGAGTCCCTTACATTTACACCTAAAGCTTTGTTTTGCTATAAATTATACAAATTTTGGAAATTTGTATGCAGAAAAGCCAAATGGATGCCTACCTCAAGGTGACCTAATTCACACCTATTGGTTAAGCACAAAAAATCATTTTATACACTTTGCAAACATACAGTTTTTTTCCACTAAAATATATCCCATACTATATTATCCAAATTCTCTAAAAGATAATCTATTATTCCCTCCATGTTTTTATTCCTCAGAATTGCTTCTGTAACTGCCTACTGAACTCTACCTTACCGTAGCTGAGTTCATGGAGCACAACCCAGCTTGTCCATGATTTAATGATAGCAATGGTTTGTAGGTTCATTTGTAGCCAGCCATCTCTGTGATGTTAGGCATTCACATAAAAGTATAAAAATTCAGGATTATTTTTTACCATAAGTATAGTCTATATAATGTAATTAAAATATTTAGAGACTTGACCTCGCCTTGTTAGGTACCCTCTATCTGCATGTTTACTACTAGATGGTACCCAGCAGGGTGGTCTGCCAAAAATTCTACTATAGCCGTCACAAACTGGTAACTTTCTTTTCCATACACTAATGAAAACTATCCAAGGCTTAGACTTTTTTGCAAAAAGTTCAATAAATTAAAGTAAATCTAATTAAAGTAGTGTAGTTCAGTTCTGTCAAGATTTACACTGAGATTTTGGAGAACCCATGTTCTATGCAAGGCTTTGCCACTAACTTAGGTGACACTGGACACATGACTGCATTTTTTCTGGATCTCTTCCTCATTTGCTGTTAAGGCAAATAAATAAATAAGGGCACTGAATAACAAATCTGTGGGTTTTGTTGTGCTTTGTAGTCCTGGTGATTGAACCCAGGTCTACTTTACAACACTGGGCTATATCTCCAGCCATTTTGTTGTTGTTGTTTGAGACAGAGTCTCGCTAAATTGCCCAAACAACCTTGAACTTGTGATCTCCCTTGCCTCAATCTTCCATATAGTTGATATTGCAGGTGTGCACCATCGCCCCACCCTCAGCCAAGTTTTAATGGTTGGTGGGCATCATGGAGCCTTTTAAGAATCTCCTGAAAACTCTCTTTGTCCTTCATTCCAAAATAAAAGGTGTCTTCATTTGTATATACCCACTGAAATATTTCACACGGTTGTGATTCCATATCCCTTGAAGGCTAGTAGCAGATCCTGTTTTAAGAATCCCTGAACTAGATGATCTCTAAGGTCCAACTTGGCTTTAACACATTATTGTTCAGTAAGCTAAATACTTACCTTAGTGGGACTCTATCTGGAAAAGAGGTTGTAAAATAATATTTTTTATAAACCAGCATAAATCTTAACAATGTCTGTCTTACCTTGACATATAATCATATAGAGTAATACTCACTATTCAGAAAAGAAACTTTCAGAAATATGTGGCTGTCCTTCTGTCCAATCTATCGCACCTTTAAAGCATTCCTCATTCAGTGCTATCTCTGTCTCCAAATGTGGAAGCACTCTTCAGTTGCTAGCTATCATTTCCAAGTCATATCCTCACAGCACTGAGCGTGACCTACACTATATAAATGGTGAACATGAAGAGGAGCTTTGGTACTTTCCTTTTGAAATGCATATGAAAATAACTTTCAGTGCATCTATTTCTTGGTAGAGGAGCAAACTTTCTGACCAAATAGTCACCTCTAGTGAACAGAAGTAAACACATGGAACAACAGAAAGAAAATGCATTTGATCAATTGTGAAATAGTATTTCACAGTATTGTAAGATGAATCCTGCTATATTTTTATCTTTCTCCATGTTACCATTTATTCTGTATTTTAAAAATTTAAGCAAGTAAACCAAAACTAGATAACAATTCTTCCACATAACTAAGATCATTTTAGTAAGATTTTTAAAATTTTTCTCCTAAAATGAAAAACTAAATATAGTCCTTAGCAGAATTTTTGCTTTTCTGGTGTAGTTTTGATAGAATATGTTTGCTGTGTTCTGAGTGCGTGCCAGATTGTACCTATGATTTCTGATTCACTCAGGGCTGTGACTTGGTACTTATAGCTCATAGGTAAACCGTTTTTTTTTCCTTTTGTTTAAGTATATAAGAATGTAGGAGTGATATCTGTAGTACAGGAAAATATTATTCTATTTCTATATTAAAATTAATGTTGCCTCCATTATCTTTATTTTCTATGGAGAGAAAGTTTTCAGCTAAGTTTAATTGTATATCCTGAAGGTATTTTTTTAGTTTAATCACAAATGGGAACTTTACCTTGCTTTGCATTACCTCCAAATGAAATAAACAAAAAGTCAAAATAATACCACTTTAATTTTTCCAGTGGGAATGGTGATGAGCTGAGCATCGGCATACTTGATATATTTGGCTTTGAAAATTTCAGAAAAAATTCCTTTGAGCAGCTGTGCATTAACATTGCAAATGAACAAATTCAGTATTATTTTAATCAACATGTGTTCACATGGGAACAGGTAAGTTCAAGTACTTGCACTAAAGATGCATGCATGTATGTTATATGCATAATTGTACAGATGAAGCAGGACCTAAACCATAGATTTAAAATCTGTCTTTACAAAAACAAAGGAAAGATTTTCTTTTCTCCATGTCCATAGTAAAAACAACAACAAAACCTAGCATGAATTTACTGTGATTTCATATGCAGTGTTCAAAGTCCTTCACTGAAAGTTGTTAATTCTTCTCCATCGCCTAGGAAGTTTGACCCTTGCAAACAAAGAAATTCTCTTTGAAATTTAAGTAAGCAGATGTGTCTAACACTTTCTCCTTCTGGAGAATGCATAGTTGAAATTCTGTCTGAAATTTCAATATCCATTTAAAATGCATTAAACTTCAGAATTCCAGTAGCTAGGCAACAGCACAGAAGATAATGGATTTGATGCAAATGCCATTAAACGGTACATTATCAGGTTACAATGTGTAATTTCTGATTCAGCTTCAAAAATATTCTTCCTTAGAGAAAAAGCAGTGACTTACTTGAATTGCATTTGGCAAAACTGTCATATTAAGTTTTTAAAATTATTTCATTAAGTCAAAAATCATCATGTTTAATATTCTTCAATATTAAATATGAACTTCATTATTCTGTTTTATGTTTACTGATTGGAACTGGTGTTCTAACTTAAGTTCAAGATAAATTACAGGTACATGAGTCACCTTTATTTAAAATATTTAGGCTTATTGAGAGTTTATTTTGAAAGTACATTTTGAAAACAATTCTTTTTAAATTTTGTTTTGTTTCATTTTGGGGGGTGCTAGAGTTGGAATGAAGGGCCCTGTTCTTGCTCCATGCACTCTACCACTGAACCTCTAGATCCTGACTTGTCTTAATCCAAATATTGAACAAAAATGTAAGACTCTGTTTTTCATCTCTCTCTCTCTCTCTCTCTCTTTCGCTCTCTTGCTCTCATCTATACCAGGATCTGGTTGCACCAAATATTCATTCCCTGTCTCTTCTTATGCCCCTTCTTCTCCCCTTCACCCCTCCCCATAGCATAGATACATGATGAAATTGCTTTAAAATCTTAAACAAACAAACATACACAAACACACACACACACACACACACACGCACGCACACACACAAAGAGTAAAAAACAATCCACAAAGGCTTCTCCACTCTGCTTATCTGTTCAGACCTGGCCTCCCTTCTCCCATGGTTGAGTTCCTTCACAGTAGTACATGGCATTGCATTGACTTCTTCCCCAACTGGGAGCACTTTAACAGGCAGCACCTGACCCTACCCTCCACCATATCCCTGGAATGGCCCAGTCTCATCAGTCATTAGTACATTTTTGCTTCTTTCAGTAGGACATAAGCTCCTTTAGGTCCAAGATCATGCCCAAGATTAATTCTTCTTGTATTTGCTGTACTTGCTGAGATTTAGCAAGTTCTCAATAAATGTTAATTAAGTTAGTATCTTGCTTTCATGCCTCACAAAACTCGCAGAATTCATTCACACTGGAGACTGGAACAAGTAAGTTTCGTTTGGTTTGGTCTTTTTAATATGGTGGATCCTACTCTTTGGAACCAGGAGCATCCTCATGTATCTCCCATTGAATTAATTAATGACGTGCATTTGCTATACCTTTAATAGTTTTCTTTCTTGGGGGGTTTGGGTTAGAATTGGGTTTTTGGAACTAGTCCTAAACCTATATACACAAATTTCAATAATCACTGCTATTTACATTTTATAGAATATAACAGTTTACAAATCACTTGGTTTGTTAGCCTTGAGCTTCATCTATGATTCCAATGTACTTCGTTTGTCTTTTGCCTTGCTACAAAAACTATTCTTATAAGACCCTTTAAAATACCCTTGGGGTAAATAAATAGAAGGAAGACCAGTCAAGTTGAGGAAGGGTAGTAAGGAGAGAGAGGAGAGGAGGGAAAGGGGAAGTACTGGGGACTGAAGTGGAGCAAATTATATTTCATGCACGTATGATTTTATCAAAATGAACCCCACTATTATGTATAACTACAATCCACTGACTAAAACATTTTAAAAGTATCCTTGAGAGAGCTTCAAAATAAAATAACTCAAAATGTTTGCCAAACAAAACTAAAAATTCCACTAGAATTTCAGAATTACCCAAAGCACCTTGAGGAATGAAAAGCATTCCCAATCCTTCTCAGTGTTATTATCACACTTTTCTTGGTCAAATAGAATCACAGGTTTGACCTGAGAGCTCCTTAGTTTAACAGAGCAATTACTACGCATTAGTAGGGTGTTGTGTTCCCTACTTCATGTGACATTCAAATGATCTGGCCAAATACCTGGCAGGACACCTACCTTGGACAGCACCTTTGCAGGTGAAACATTATGGTTCTATTGTTTTACCACATTGGAACATATGCTGAGAATTTTTTTTATCCCAATTTTAATTTATATATAACATACAGTGGGACACACCAACACAGTTCTTCACAAAGATATTTTGAATGTTATTTTCCCTTTGCCTTCTGTTATTAAAAAAAATAATCAGAAGACAGCAGTAAAACATTTTTAGTGAAAGAATTTATGTTGGTGGCCTACTCTCTAGCTTGCCGAGTAGATAGCTTTATATTTCTTGGAATGGTTACCTCCAAGTAACCATTTGTGTTACTTTCAAAACACTTTCTTAAATATTTTCTAAGCCTGGAAGTCCCTGTTATCCATTTACCAGAAGCTGAGCTTCTTTTCTCTATACAGTCTCCTTTTCTGTGGACATTAGTCAGATGCCTCAGAATCTCTTAACAATCAACCCATAGCACCCAGAACTTGTGTACCTTTCTCATTATCTAGAAGAGAAATGATCGTTATAAGCATTATCCTTTTAGAGTGTATAAGCCCTGAAAATTTCCTGGTGCATGATATTTCACAGCACTTGAAGTTTCCATACACTCCCAGTCCTAGAAGAACTATATTATGTATATAGTTTTTTTAAAAAATAATTTATTTATTTATTCTAATTTGTTATACATGACAGCAGAATGCATTTTTGTGGAGATATGATTTTCTGAGGCAAGGTAAGGATTGGAGTTGCAGGACTGGAGTGACTATCTACAAGATGCAAAATCCAACATCAGGGCAACACAGAAAGGGACAAGAGTGATGAGAATAGGACCCATTAAGGAGAGAGGAGATGCCTGGCGTGAAAGAGGTTTGGGAGAGAAAAGATGAATTGATGTTGCTTGAGTTTGCATTGGTGCCAGACACTCTGATGTTATGTGTGCTGTCTTGTTTAATCATCATTAGAATCAAATGAGGTAAACTTTAACTTTGTTTAGGGATGGGGATAAGGAGAGAGTCTGGAAGGGAGGGGGTATGGGGATAGGAAAAATGATGGAATGAGATGGTCATCATTACCCTAGGTACATGTATGGAGACACAAATGGTGTGATTTTACTTTGTGTACAACCAGAGACATAAAATGTGTGTACTATGAATTGAAATGCATTTTTTTTTCATTATGTGCATTCTGAAATACTTCTCTGTAATTTCTTCTGCTGTGCTGGCCATGGATTCTAATAATGTAGCATCTTGGTTTGTTTGGGACACTTTCTTCCCTTGATTTTTCATGTGGTTCATGTGTCTTCCTTTCTAGCACAGTGGATCCCAGGTGTTAAAGTTTTTACCCTGTAGGCTTATAGTGTCCCTGCAGGGATCTAATACCTCTTGTTTAAGGGGAAGAACAATATTAACAGATCCCAATACAAACAATATACGCCCTTAAACCACATAGCTGCTATTAAGACGTTTATGGTTTTGTCACAATATACAGAAATGTTGAGTTTAACAATCATCTACAATATAAACAGTAGGTTTGCAAAAGGGTCTACAGTTTCTGATGACGGACAAAGAGAGAATCAGGGGTAGGGATTAGGATGAGATGTTATGGAGGTAGGAGGTGAGAATGTAGAGTTATGAGATCTTAGGAAACTTGAAAGAGGAATCAAAAGAAGTTGGCTAGTAGCAGGAGAAAAGAGATAAAGTGATTTGGGGGAGACAAGTAAGTGGGAAGACAATAGAGAGAGCACAACAAACAAATATAAAAATTAAGAAAAATAAAAATGTAAAAATAGGAGATAAAAGAATATACAACAAAAGTGTAATATATTATTCAGACATCCCAGTCCTTAGTAGTCAATTCATGAAAAGTACTTGGTTTCACTAATGTTGGGGATGTGAGGGCAGGAGAAGAGAGAGGAAAAAAGAAGGAAAAAGAAAAGAAAAATCTAGAAGGAAAATACAAGGATTGCTTTTGTGGGAATTCAGTATCTTTCTTGCCTCTCTTCTCAGCCAATAGGTGGGGTTGTCTGTTGTTTGCTGGTATCTCCACCCTAGGATGATGAAGGCCATTAGGGTGGGAGGTTTGGTTTTGAGGTGTAGCTCTTGGAATGGGGTATAGCGCTTGCTGGTCCCCAATGGGAAACTGCACCCCAAGGACCTCCTCTGGGGCCTGCTTGTGTGGTGTGAGCACCTGGTCTTATCTCCTTATGTCACCTGTAGACCTCACAATTCCTGGTCTCTAATTTAGTCTCTAAACTGTATCTCTTCCTGTCTACTTCCCAATCCAGAACCTCTCTCTCTAGAGGTCTTGTGGGTTGAGTTCTGGAGGCTGTGCACTTGCCACAGAGAGCTGTTTTGCATTGGGCAGTTCAGGGCCAGGCTCTGTGAGCGACGCAGCCACAAGCACTGTGCTGAGTTAGTCGCTGCAGGGGAGAGGGGAAATTGGGGGCTACAGGTACTTTATATTGCTTCCAGGCCCCAGCAGGTGTCCCATGCTGGCAATTGCCCCAAAGATGGTGACAAAGGTGTCCCAAGATGGAGTGGCTGCTTTCAGTGATGGGGTGTCGGGTTGAGTTGAGCCTGGTGGTGGCATTGAGAGGCGTGTTCAGAGATGCAGCTTGTGGTGTGCAGTGTTGTGGCTGGTGGCTGTCTCCAGACCCTGTCCTGTGTCCCCAGGTGTAGGCT